CCAGAATTCCCCAGCCAGCATTCGCTGGCTGGGGAATTCTGGGAGTTGAAGTCCAGACATCTTCAAGTGGCCAAGGTTGAGAAACACTGCTCTAAGCTAGGTTGCAGACATTTCATTACCCAGCTGGGTAATATCATCAGTGCTGCAAGGGAGGGGTTTGTCCTTTCTCTCTCTCCCCCCCCCCTTTTAACTAAAATGCAAAGCACCGCCCCTTTAAGGCCAGGTTTCCCAACCTTCCCATCAGTGGTGAAATTCAAATGGTTTTACTACCAGGTTTAATGGGCGTGGCTCGGTGGACCTGGCAGGGGGGAAATCCCCTTTCCCTCCCCACTCTGGGGCCAACCAGAGGTGGCATTTGCCGGTTCTCCAAACTACTCAAAATTTCCACTACCGGTTCTCCAGAACCTGCTGGATTTCACCCCTGCTTTGCATCTAATATCTGTGGGCCTCAAACTCCCAGAATTCCCCAGCCGGCCACGAATGATAAAGTTGGAAGGAGGATCACCTGCGCCAGTGTTTCTAAACCTTGGCAACTTTTAACGTGTGTGGACTTCAACTCCCAGAATCCCAGGCTGGGGAATTCTGGGAGTTGAAGTTGCCAGAGTTGGGAAAGTCTGCTCGAGCGTCTGCTAGGCTGCTTCCTAAATTCCCCTGGACGGACCCAGCCTGGTTTCAGGAAGCACGGAAGGTGCCCTTCGCTTCCAGGCGCTTCATCCCCACAGCCGTGTGCGCCAACCGCTTCTCGTCCTGCAGGGGTGAACCAGTTTTGCCAGGACATCGTCGACATGATCCGGCAGTGCCCGCCCTGGTGCAGCCGCCTGGTGCCCTACTTCAGGACCTGCTGGGTCATCGTCACCCCGGCGACGTTGCTGGTAGGCCAGGCGGGGGGGTCTGCGGCCTCCCTGCCCCCGCAGCTCTTGTGTGGAAGAGCCTGGGCAGCCATGGGGAGGCCCCTCGCCCTCGGCCCATCCTTCTCAACTCTGCTCCCTTCACAGTTCATCCTCTTCTACACCTTCCTGGACCTCTCGAGCACCAGGCTGCAGTACGGAGCCTACCGGTTCCCGCCCTGGGGCCAGGCGCTGGGCGTCTGCATGGGGCTGCTGAGCTGCATTCAGATTCCGCTCTGGGCCGGCATCGCCCTATTCAAGGAGTCCGGGACGCTGGCTGCCGTGAGTCGGGGAAGGAGAGGCCGGTGGGTGGCGGGATGGGAAGACCTCCCATCTCACCCGCGGGGCAGGGGAGGAGCCGAGTCGGGCAGGGCTCCGGGTGTGTCCATCCTGTGCCGCAGCCGAGGACCCCAAGAGGAAGCCTTGCTGCAAAAGGAGCTTTCGGGACCCTGCTGGCGCGCGTCACCGTTGCTCTTGTGGCCTCATCAGCCCGCATCCTCTGCAATGCAGGCCTACCTTGCAGGGCTGTTAAGAGGAGGTCCACATTCTCTGCTCCCCAGAGACTGCCTTCAAAGTGGCAGGCTTGTGTCTTTTCCGGGTGCTTCGGTCTGGGGTGAGCAGCTGAATCCCCCCAGCAGGCAGAATTCTCTTTGGTCCTCAGGGCGGCATCCGGGGGACGGCAAGAGCCCCTCAGTGTAGCGTTGCCGACACCCCCTCTGGGGACCTTGGGCCGGAGGGGGGAGGTGGTCGGTCATAAAATGGATCAAGCTTCCAGGAAGCGGACACGCTGTCCGGACTGTGTGTGGGGCAGCCCTTGGGGAGCCCCAGGCCCTCTTGCCTCTCCCTGGGAGTTTTCCCGGCAGTTGGAGCCGTGTCCAAAGCCCCCCGTTGTCCCTTCGCAGCGCTTCAGGAAAGCCATCCGTCCCCTGAGTTCCTGGCGTTCGGCCAGCAGCCGGGAGCTGCCCCCCCAGGTCATCGACGTTCCCTACACCGTCAACTTGACAGACAGCGACTTCACGGGAGGCTGGCAGCTGCCGGATAGCAGCGAGGCCTGATGCTGCGGACAACGCAGGAGGAGGCACCTGTGCCAGTCCCCTTACGGCTTGGACCCCACCGGCCACTTCTTTGCGGTCAAAGGCCGGCTGCAGGAGAGACGCTGCTGGGGCCCCCACGCCCTCCGCCCCCAAGCAGCCCAGGGGCCGCCACCGCTCCATTCCCCACTCAGACCGCGACTCCTGGCTCCAGAGGCCTTTCTCCCAAATCAGAGGCCGGTCTCCCCTGGCGCTTTGCTGCCCCGTGGCACCTCCCCCTCGCCCACCCCCCGGAGGATGGGAAGTCCTCGACTTACAACCACAATGGAGGCCAAAGAAGCTACTGCTAAGCAAGGCAGATGTGAGTTTTTTACGACCTGTTTACAACCTTTACTGATCAATTGTTAAGTGAATCTCAAGAGTTAGTAAGCCGGACGTTAAGTGAATCCGGCTTCCTCGTCGACTTTGCTTGTCAGAAGGCTGCAAAAGGGGATCACGAGACCCTCTCAAGTGCCTCATAAATACAGACATTGCCCAAATTCTGATCAGGTGACAGTGGAGGAGGCTGCGCCTGCCCTAAGCGGCCATAAGTCCCGTTTTTCAGTGCTGTTCAAACTTTGCCGTAAGTCGAGGACTGCGCTCTCCCCCCATTCGGCTCCTCCGGGGCCTCCTTCCCACCTGGGCCGACTCAGCCTTCTGTGCTGCCTCTCGCAAGACACAGCGGCCACATCTGCCTGCTGCCCACAGCCGAGTTGCTGAAGGACGGAGGACGGGAATCTCCACGGACAACGGGCACTTTGGGGTGCCCCCCCCCCCCCGATGGACATGACCCCCCCCCCGGTGTTTTTCTGACTGCTCTCCTTACTCCCTGTGCCTCCACCCCGGCTGCATGAAGACGCCACATGCTCTTGCCCCGTGTGCCCTCCCCCCTCCCCAGCCATGGGGGGGGCATGGTAGAGCACCCCCCCTTTGTAAAGGCCGATGGGGAGAACCCCAAACTCAAACAAAGTCCGAGCGTTTTTAGAGGCCCTTCTGGAAACCAGACAAATAAACCCCGTTGCCTGCATGGGAAGGCAGGAGCCGCTGCGTGTTGTGTCCCCAGCGGTTTTTTGGCGTGGAACATTCTCCCGGCGAGTGGTGGAGAGTTCCGCCGGCTGAGGAGGCAGGAGCCTGGCCTAGGAAAACATCCGGGGCCCTTCAGAGAAAGGAAAGGCCTTCTCCTCGTAGGGGATCCAGGCTGACCTGGGGGGGGGGGGGCAACAGCGCTTCTGCCGTCCCAGAAGGAGACCACGCGGCCAGCCTTAGTAAAATAGGCTACATGCTTTATTGGATTCAAAACAGTTTTAGGGAAAGCAGCCGTTCCGGCCCAGGGAGCTGCCCCCCTCCTGCCTTCCTCCTTGCCCTGAGACCCAGAGAGAGGGGGGGGCTCCTGGGGGGCTCCTCCTGGGGCCGGTCCAGGATGCAGCCGGGAGCCCCAGACGTCGCCATCCTCTCCTCGGCTGCCCCGAGCGGCCCCAGGGGCCCCGCAGCTTTGGTTCCGCTCCTGAGGGAAGGCCGCGGTCCAGGGGGGCCTGTGGGGGGGCTGCCCTGCTCCGGCCACACGGAGGGCAGCAGCGGGCAGAAGGGGGGCAGCGGGTGCAAGCCATGCGCAGCCAAGCAGGGCCCTCTGGCCCCAGGAGGCCCCCCAGGCAAGAGGGTCTCTGTGCCCCCCAGGCGTTCCGGCGAAGGGCAGCCACGGGCGGTCCTTCCGTCTCCTCCGGCTACTTCCGGGGCTTCTTGAAGATCTTCAGCGGGAACTTCTTCTTCCCGGCGCCTGAGTCCGTCTCCTCGCCGGTGGAGCCGCTGTCCTCCTCGCCCTTCTTGGCCGCCAGGTGCGGGATGCGGCTGTTGGCCTTGCCGGAGAGGAGGGAGAGGCCGGTGCGGCCGTTGGCAGATGGCGAGGGGGTGTCGGGCTCGGTGGAGCTGGGGCTGTGTGACCGAGAGGAGTCCCCCGAACGGGCCCCCACCGACCCCAGCTCCCCCAGGCTGGCCGCCTTCTCCAGCCCCCCGTGGTGGTTGGCCCGGGGCACCTTCGTCATCGTCAGCGGGCTCTCCGACTCCGGGGGCTCCGTCTGGGAGGACTGCTCCTCTGCCGCTTTGCTCAGCAGGGCGGGGCGCAGCTTGGGCATGGAAGCGGAGGCCCGCGGGAGCTCGCTCAGGTGCGGGATGGAGGAGTCCGAGTCCGAGCGGGCCAAGTCCCTGGAGGGGGGGAGGGGAGAAGACATGAGCCTGGAAGGACTCGAACCCACGCCCCAACCCGCATTGAGTGGCACACAAAAGCAGCCGCCTTCCGATGCCCCCTCCCCAATTCCTTCACGGACTGAAGCAGTTTTCCTCCAGGCCCCCTCAAAGGCAGCCCCCACCCACAAGGAGAGGGCTGGCTTCCTTTCTAGGGCAGTCCTGGGGGAGGGGTCTCTGGATGGGAGGGGCCTTTGCCTCTTCCAAAGGGGGCGGGGAGGGCATCTGCCTGCAGACGGATGGCAGAGAACGTGGCAGCCCTTTGCGTCCCCCTGGGGACCCCCCCTTGATGGAGGGGCTGCTGCAGACGCTCGGGAAGGCTCTCACTCTCAGACAGAGAGCGCTGGGGGGGGGAGGCATATAAATGCTGTCCTTCCAGGCAGCCCCCGCAGGCGAGTGGCCAAACACAGCAGAGACGTCAACCGGGGACACCAGCCGTCCGCAGCCCGCTGGGCACAGCAAACGCAGGCACCCTCCACCCCAGCGGTCGGTGCAGTTAGTGGGCTTGGCGGGAAGTCACAGCAGGCACCACACCACACCGCGTGCAGCGTCTGCCGCCAGGGTTAGGCGAGGAGCACGTGCCGAGTCCGAGCGGACAGGACGGTACCCCGAGCTCTCCGTCTGGCCGTGTGTCCCCGAGGTGACGTCGGGAGGGGGCAGGTTGGCCGGGGCATCCATCTGCAGGATGTAGGAGGAGGAGCTGTGGTGGTAGAGGATGGGCATCCCGTGGCAGGTGGGAGCAGAGGGCGCTCCGTGGCCGGCCGAGGAGGAGGAGGAGGAGGAGGAGGAGGAGAACGGCGGAGCTGCTGAGACGTCGAGGCTGCTGCCGCCACTGAGGCTGGGCATTCGGCGCAGAGTCACCCTGCCAGGCAGGTAATGCACCAGCGGTCCCGACTCCCCCTGGCAGGAGGCCTGCTGGTGACTCTCTACCAACCTCTGCGATCCCAAGGAATGCTGGGGGTCCACCAGGCGCTGGCGAACGATGCTGCTCGGGAAGGTGGGAGCTGGCGGGAGAGGAGGGAAAATGGGCCGGTTAGGGAGAAAGAGGCTGCACCGGACGGGGCCCATCCAGGGGACGCCTCCCTCCATCCCCGCCTTGCCTGGAGGGAGGGTGAGGCTGGGGGGGGGCCATCCTGCTTTCCCCCTAGCCCCTCCCTCTCTCTCCTCCCTCTCCCTGTGACACAACCAGCCAAGGGGAAGGAGGAGGTGAGTTTTTCTCCGGTCTGGCCGAAGCATACAAGACAGTGCGGCTGCCCCCACCCGCCGGCCCCAGCCCCACGGTGCCCAGGCTGCTGGCTTTGCGAACAGAACACGGGGGGGTTACCCGGTGCAGAAAAGACGGGAGGAAGCGAAGAAGCAGGAAGCAGCCCCAGCCCTCCCCCCTTCAGAGCGCCCCTCCCAGCGCCTGTCTCGGGGGGGTCCTCCTGCCCCCCCTTCCTGGAGAGGGGACATTGTGCTGGCCAGGAAGGTCTCTTGAAGGGGGCCCATCTGGTGGGACTGAGAAGAAGGGCCTTCTCCGTGGGGGCTCCCTCCCTGCAGAGATTAAGACCGGCCCCCATCCTGGCCCCTCCCACACGGCACGGAGAACCTGCTTCTGCCAGCGGGCCTGGGGACCCCCGAGTAGGGCATTCTGGGAGTTGAAGTCTGGAAGCTTTCAGGGGCAGAGAGGCCTGCTCTGAAGGCAAGGCGTGACCCGTCAAAACCGCGGAGGACAAAATCGCACTCGACGAAAGCGCGCATTTGACGTCATCACAGCGCGACGAAAAAAATAAAAAATTGAAATAAAAATTAAATTAAAGCAAGCCGATTCACATAAAGGTAAGGGTTAGGGTTAGGGTTAGGTTTAGGTTTAGGGTTAGGGTTAGGTTAAGGGTTAGGGTTAGGTTTAGAGCGTTAGGGTTACGTTTAGCGTTAGGTTAAGGGTTACGTTTAGGGTTAGATTTAGGGTTAGGTTAAAGGTTAGGTTTAGGGTTAGGTTTAGGGTTAGGTTTGGGGTTATATTTAGGGTTAGATTTAGGGTTAGGTTAAGGGTTAGGTTTAGGGTTAGGTTTGGGGGGG